TGTTATTTAGGAGTTGTATTGATCATACAACAGTGAGATAGGAAACTGAGAGCGCAAACAATTCACCACAATTGTGTTTTAAGGTTGTGTAACTTTGTTAGTCAGAGGGAAGCTGTTAATGTTTAAACATTACAGAGGTGCTGCACGAGGCTAAAAGCCATCTCACACGGTTTGATAACACATGGAGGTGATTGATGAGAGAAGCTTGTGGACAGCTGCAGGGCCCAGGGAGAGAGAGAGAGAGACAGAGAGAGAGACAAGGTACTATGATCAATAGCTGGAGTAAAGATGTACACGAACAATGAGAGTAGATTAAGTTGTTTTGTTTTTCATGCTTTTCACCAAGGCTCATTTGAGTGGTTATTGTTTTAATGGAGTGTTGTTTTGTGTTATATTGTGTAAAATATAATGTACCCACATGCATGTGGTTTATTTGTCACAGTTCATTTTAAAGTCAGCCACCTCATGGCTAGATATCATCTCTGAGAGTCCATTGTGTTAATGAGTAAGAGGTCCTTTTGTTCTTCAGGCCACATGTTCAGGATTATCAGCATCCAAGTTATTTGACCCCATGAGGTCAAGAGTCATTCTGTTAGACCACAATCTTTTGTAAGACAAATCATTGTTCTTTTGTCACATTTTGAATTACATAAGATTTCATTTTTGCTAAATCAATTTATCTATAAATGTTGTAGTTGGAGTTTGGTGTTTGCTAACATTTTTAGGAACGACATAGGCCTACACTTGGGTCAAATTACATTACTGTGATCTGATTAGTGTGCTCTGCAGGTTTACTATTGTTCTGACCAAGCAGTGGGATTTTTAGGTACAGGGAGGTTCTTTCATAGTGTGTGAAATATGCGATGCTGGAAACATGTGGGTGTTGAAAAACATAGTTTGGGTAAATATGTCACAATGGATGAAACGATTATTAGAGGGAGTTTTTGTAATATCATTAGTATACATTAATTGTGTTGTTTAGATGGCAGTTAACTACTAAGACAAATAGTATGATTAGAAAGAGACAGAGTGGAAAGGGTTGGATTTATTTAACCTCAGTGTGCTAGAATTTCTATAGGTAATGCGTCCCGAGACCTGGACTCTCTCTCTGCCCGTCAGACGGCTAAGACCCCGATCCGCTGAGCAAACAAAGGCCTATCCCAACCAGGAGACTGCTCCTTCTCAATAGACCAGACAGAGAACCAGAGCTGAACCAACAACTGCATCCAGAACTATCTCCACCTGTGGCATCCAGAACCAAACAGCTTGCTGACAGGCAGAGATCTACTCTCATCAGTCCCTCAAGCAGGGCATGAAGTTCCAAGCTGAGCCACGAGATTTGGCACAAGAGCAAAGTGTGGGACATGAGAGCAGAATCCGCCCTCCATAAAGCAGCAAAGACACTGTAAAGGAGGAGATGAAATGCAAAGCAGTACAAAAACCGCGGCATGATGGGGGCTGCAGATGTAGCTGGGCAGATGGCTGCCTCAAAGAGTTACAGCTGATGGACAAAGGGGGAGGAGTCAGAATCAGAGGAGTTGGTCGAGCAGAATGTGAGGTGGCTGGGGTCGCGGCTTTAGATGAACCAGAGGAGAGGGGAAGGGAATCAACGGGAATGAGTGAGTTTACACATAAACACACTTATTATAAGCGCACATTTGAAGAACTTTAATTGACTTGATAAATAAGTGAAGAAATAGTTGTATTAACCATGAATTAATCAATTGGTAAATTAACAATAGCAGTAAAGAGGAAACTATTAAAGTAAAATGAGAATCATCCTAAAACACACTGAGGGATAAAGGGGGAGACATGACAGAGTATCATCTTTTTATTTAAAGAGACTCTTGGTCCATTATTACAAAAACATACAACACTCAAATATAAATTAAAAAAGGCAGTGATACCAATGTTTCCACAGAGGTGACTGGTATCGTACAGCACTGAAACACGGATTTGACAGCAGCATAATGACAGAGTTATGAGAAACATTCAATCGACAGATGAATTTGTACATTCGATTTCTCAAAAGAGCATGGAACGTGTTGACTCGTGCGTTACAGAACATTTCACTTGCACTGCACCACCTTGGTTTTCTAAGCAGTATACGCAAACAGTCATTATATGCAACCTGGAGCTTCTTGAGGCTTGCCTTCTTATACTTGACCCACAAGGGGGCAGTATAGAGAGGAGTGCAATAAGCTCTAAAGAGGTTCACCTTAACCTTATCTGAACACCAAGAGAGTTTTCTAGCCAACATGTTGGCTTGCATATATAAGACACGCCGCTGTCTATACATGTCCTCATCATCAGCCATTTCATCTGTGATGATGTGTCCCAGATACTTAGTGTTACAGCAAACAGACAGCACCTGTCCTGACAGGTAGAATGTTGGAAAACAAAGGTTCTTATCCCCTTTTGCTCTGCAGATCATTACAGCGCTCTTCTTAGCATTGTATTTAACGTCAAATTTGACTCCGTAATCAGAACAAACATTTAGCAACTGTTGAAAACCAGCACTGCTAGGAGAAACAATAGCCAGATCATCGGCATACATAAGATGGTTTACAATCACATTACCAATCACACACCCTGTTTTACAGACACTTAAATCATCTGATAGATCATTCATATAGATATTAAAAAGTCACAGTGAGAGGAGCCCCCCCTGGCGGACTCCATTACCAACACCAAATGGCGCAGAGACTGCATTCCCCCATTTGATCCGCATGCTCTGGTTGGCATACCAATAAGCCAGGATCCTAATTATACTGTTAGGCACACCCCTTTGTCTCAATTTTAAAAACAGTTTATGATGGTTAACTCGGTCAAAAGCCTTAGAGGCATCAATGAAACCAATCAGAACAGTGGAATTCTGTCTTCTATATGTTTCTACCATTTCTTTCAAAGCATAGATGCATAGCTCAGTACCATGCTTAGCCTTGAAGCCAAACTGGTTATCTGAGGTACATAAATATGAACATAGTCTATCTAACAAAATTCTTTCCAAGACTTTGGATAACACACTGGCTAGAGCAATTGGTCTATAGTTATCCAAGCTCCCTACCTTGCCCGCTTTGTCCTTAATGACAGGCACCAAAGTAACAGTCAACATGGAGTCTGGCAACATACCATGAGTCATGAGGCCGGTAAAACAAATGGCAAGAAGAACGGCAACCTTCGGGCTTGCCAGTTTAAGGTGCTCTGCAGTGATTCGGTCAGAGCCGCATGCTTTATTATCAGCTAGCTGTGCAATTGCTCGATAAACCTCTTTAGCTGTGATTCCCACTGTGTCACTCTTCACAACATCACCAACTTTGTAGGGGTCACTTTTAACACAATTAAGTATATTAGAGTAATGTTGCCTCCACAACTCAGCTATGTTATCGGCTCCAGATACTCCCTCTATGGTACACTGGCCCTGTTCAGAGCTCTCACCTCCTTCCAGAAGCCAGTCACATCATTATGAAGCAGCTTTTCAGCCATAGAGTCCGCTCTCAATGTTTCTGTGTGTTTGTTGACATAACGAACTGCATATTTATATCTAGCATTTGTACGCTTTTTGAGATCCAGGACAGGCCCCTCTCTGGGCCTACCTGCCTGGACCCAGGCCCCAAAAGCATTCTTGGCTTCAGCGTATTGATCAGCCACATGTTTATTCCACCCTGGCTTGACGTTGTGTCTCTTCCTAGAGTAGGTACAGCACGGTCTACTGGCCTCCCATACAGCTCCCACAATACAATCATACATGTTACAGAGGTCTTCACGGTGAGAGTTTTCATTACAACCCACATCAACACACAGAGTTGCCACTTTGGGTAGATATACATCACTCAATAGGACATCAGTTCTCCCATAGTACAATAGCCTATCCTCATTTGTGAGCTTGGACCAATCCACTTTAGTGTTACAGGCATTTTTAACCTCCTGAGACATCTCAGGGAGACTATCACAATCTAGTGACATTATAAAAGGAATGTGATCTGACATTGATGCCTCATACACAATCTCGATTGATCTTACAGTGTCATGGGCATTAGCAGTGCTTATGCAATGGTCAAGCCATGAAGTTGTATGCCAGGCCTCGCTTATATATGAATAGCTATCTGTAGGCAGAAGTATTTGGCTTGATAATATAAGATTGTTATCATCACAAAACTGTAGCATATGCTTAGCAAACAAGGACCTTTTGTCTGATATGTCAGCATTCATATCACCCACTACAAAAACACTGGTGGAATGATTATCAGCAATAAAAGAATGTATAAAAGCAAGTCTGTTCAGATATTCATCTTCATTATGCTGTGACTCATATGGTGTATATACATTGAGAATGCTAAACTCCTTGTTATTCATTTTGATCTGTACAGCAATACACCAGTCAACTTCAAGCCTGATGACATTAATGACAGTGTCCAGCTTTTTGTGCCACAGGATAGCCACGCCCCCTGCTATCCTTCCTCTCACTATTCCCAGAGATAGGTCCGTAGTGGACTCACCAGCCCCGTGAAAATTGTCATTAAGAGAGTTCAACTTTCCCAAGTCCTGCTTTGGTAAGAAAGTTTCTTGCAAGCATAAAATGTCACATTTTTGTAGCAAGTTGTCCACCACTACACGTCGGATCCTATCAGCAGCGCTGTTGCCCAGGCGCAGCCCGCGACAGTTAAATGATCCAACCCGCATAACGTTTAGCTAAGCAGCTCAGCCGTAGCCCCATTCAGTACCCTCGCACCAGCAAAAGGTCTAGCTCTGCTAGCCCCTATCACCTCCGCTTTACGTGGTTCATAGTATCTTCTCACAACTGAGCCTTCAGGCCAGAGTTCTGGGTTAAACATCTCCGCAACTTCATTGCACTCAGCACACACTTTAAACGAGCTATATCTGCTGCTTGCAGTGTCAATACGGTGACAGTTAACATCACGGCCGAGTTGTTCAGTTAGATATTCGGACAGTGTCTCAGCATCAAGGTCTGGCGAGAATTTGGTAGCAAAAACACTCACCAACTTCGTACGGATCACTTTGATATTCCCTTGTGCAGCAGTGCCAACAATAGGCTTAGGCATCCTCCGTTCAGGTTTCCCAACAAGCTGTTTAGATAAGGCAGACTGGCCCTCGGCCCTATTCCTCCGACCTCGGCCCTGTTTCACAACTTGACTCCATACCTGCGAATTTACCGCAGTTCCTCCAGGGCTCACACAGGCACTCACGGTCCCTGACGCAGCGAGCGGGTCAACACAGTTGGGATGTACTACATCAGTAGAAGAGCCGGGGGGGCTCACATCCTTCACCAACACCGCACCATTACCCTGAGCGCTCCCACAGGTAGTTTCAGCGTCACTTGGTACAGCCAGTCCTCCACCATGACTCGGCTCCAACTGGCGTTCTACGGCAGCAACTCTGCTGTCCATGGTCGCAGCCACAGCACGCAGGTCCTCACCGATATCTGCCTGAACTTCCACTACGTGTCTTAATGCGCAAACCTCGCTGTGCAGTCGCTCCATCTTGCTCAGCAGGTTGGACACATCCAGGTTGTTAAACGTAACAGGCGGCAGCTCATCCAGGTAGTGGGAGACAAAACGGGGGATGTTTTCACCGCATTCATTTAGCACTTTTAGGCAGCTTTTAATATTGTTTGCATCCTTCTGGTTGCCTTTAAAGGCCACACACCGCTGCTTGGTTTCAGAACAGAGTTCAAACAACGTCTTTTTAGAAGTCTCGATCCATTCGGAATCGAAGGTGTTAGAGGCTACAAGGACTAGCTCGTCCTGGGTCATAGTTTTAATTTTAACCGCCAGGAAGTTGAGTAACTCATCCTCTACAATAACTAGGCCGTCAACAGTCTTATATATTGTAGGTTTTAGTCGAGGCCGGTGGTTTGAATCGGGAGCTACCGAGCCATAACACACACCATCAGCCATCTTGTATAACCATATGCTTCAATCTTTTCATCATGTTAACAAATCATTCTTCAAGAGATTTTTATTCACCTGTGAATAAAGTACTGATCTCATTTGTTACAATATTGATCACCATTAAAAGGGTAATTTTAGGAACCACTCTATAAGACAAATCTTTATTTGTATGGATAAGGCTAAAGGGAGAGCTGGTGCGAAGCCAAATATAGTATTCCAATCTATAAAGTATTGAGTTCACCATTGTGCCATAGTTATTACCATAGGATAAAGTAGGGAGTAATTCTTGCATGTTCGGACACCCGGGGTTCCACACACTGCTAAATAATTTAACATTGTTTTTAGGTAGACCAGAATTGAAGATAAATGAGTATAATGACCTATGAAAAGCTACACAGGTCCTAGATAATAATGATATGCACAAGTTTCTGAAATAGATCTATTAAGACATTTTAATATAGATTAGGTGTTAATAAACTGCAGTAGTAGTACAATAAGGAAGTGACATTTTTTTTGGCTAACACTTTTCAGGAAATGTGGGAAACAGCTGTTCCAATGAAAAGTTAGAGATATCTGGAAAATTATAGTTGTAATCGTGAATTAATAAATGATGGCGCTCCATATATACAGATTTTTGTAGACAAAGGATACTGGCCTATGCTGAAATATCAAAGTCTCTGCAGAGCACGACACATGGCCAAAAAGACTGAGACCAACTGACCTTGGACCCTGACCGACAGTGTAACTTGAGAAGGCACTGTCAAGGACTGACCAGAGTCAGTCCTTGACAGTGCCAGAGGGTGTACCTGACCAAACTTGACTTTACAACCTGACAGTGTGATTGTGAATGTGAGTGTATGTCTGCATGTGATCAGTGCAACTGCATGATTTAAAACAATGACTAATCAAGCATGCTTTTGGACTAACACATTATTCTGGGGCTCTGTGGGCAACGAGAGGTTTCCTACAATTCCACAAAAATTGGAAAACCGTACAGGTGACCCGTTTCTAATCTACTTGATATTTCACTCCCACAGGAGGTGGCAGTTTGCAGAATGTGAAACTCAAACTAAAACATGAAGATTCTGTTTATTTTAGGACTGAATGATGGAGAGAAACACTTAATTTCACTGAAGTGTTTACTGTGGAAATGATGGATGTACATTTGGGAAAAATGTTTGGTATTTTCTTATAATCCATTATTACCTGAAGGTTTTCTTCCCATACAGGATTTTGGTTACACATGAGTTCATGTGTAAAAAGGGGGAGTGTAAACTTCACAATCTACATTTTTCATTGACAGTTTTAGAATTGACCTGCTCCATATCTGGGGATAAGATACTGTTTGATGGATGTTGACATGTTTCTAATATTGATTGAGTTATAACAGGTAACACAGATGCAGAATCAGTGGCCCAGGGGCTACTGTGGGAGATGTAATTCCAGAATGGAATACTGAAGAAGTTGACCTATGATGATGAAACAATTTTGTAATATTTCAACAGGTATTAATGTAACTGAGGTTTGAAATGTAGAAAGAACATATTACAGTTAAAGCTAAAACATAGTAATGTAATGAAACATAATTTAATTTAGACAACATCATGTCTGGTAAAGAAGTAAAAGCCATATACTTTATTGTTTAGGTCATTATGGGGATATACATTTCATCTAAATTCATAATAGAAAGACATTTGATGACAGTTTGTTGGAATTCTGTATTCATTTTTTCAGCGTGATAATATCTAAGCACTGACAGGTAAAAGCAATATCACCAGGAAATCATTCACTTTGTCAGTATCATGATTTTGTTGTTTTTGAATCCATAACATTAGTGTGTTTCTTTACCAGAAACATTAGCAGTTCATATTATATTTAGATTTTAAATAGGATCTCAAGGATTTCATTAAAAAATAAACACAGATGCTTGTCAGAAATTCAGAGCTATTGAAATATGTTATTTAGTTTACCTAAAGATGTTGGGGTTCTTATTTAGTTGGCACAGTCCAAGTATTAAGATTCTGAAGCTGCACTGGCAGATACAGATGAAGCACTCCAGATCAGACTCAGATGGGTGTGTCCCAGTCAAAAGCCCAGCGGATGCCAGTGGCTGGGGGTGTTGCCAAATTGCTAGAGGGCGTTGCCCAATTTCCCCATTTGTTCAATTACAGGATTTAACCATAAAATGGCGCTTCATTCACAAAATACACAAAGACAACTGGGTGTTGATGAACTATACTGGAAACTGTAGATCCTGCTCAACAGGATGTATATGTGTATTTATGTCGAAAGTACTGGCTTGAAACTATATGCCAGTCTTTGTTTCATGCAAAAAGACCCAATAAACACGGACATACGATGATATAAAGTTAATACAGATATATGAATAATGGAAGCACATATTTTAATATCTTCGCCGTATTTTATCATTTTACGAAACGGAAAATACTGGAAACTGTAGATTCTGCTCAACAGGATGTATTTACCAGGGAGGGGGTGAGGTAATCAGGTAAACGGAGTGATACGAAACGAGACGAAAAGAGACAAAGAGGGACGGCGGGAGACTGTGATTGAAGTAAAGTGACAGACAAACATTGAGAATTTAGATATAGTTAGATAGATTTAGAGTTTTGAAGATTCAACTATGATGAAGAGAACTCTGAACGTGAGTCAAGCTTTAAGCTTGTTTTTTGACATGGAGGAGGAGGAATCTGTGATGTTGCCCTCTGTGTCGTATTGACAGAAACCGCTTTGAAGCGTGGCACAGATAAAGACAGAAAAAACAGATTTTTGTACATAATGTGTATATATATATTTGTATTATATTTATAATAACACTTTTGCCTTATCAGAATGAAATCCCATGCTACCTCAATCAAACTTTCACATTATCATAGTGACATCCCATGTATATATTTCCAGCTTTTAAATGGTTTCGTTGTGTATGTTTGTGTTACCTATGAAAAATAATATCATTTTCAAAATCTGTTTTTACATTTTGTTTGTGATTTTGGGTCCAAAATGTTCATATAGTAGAAGATCACTGCTCTAAACAAAGTCAAAAATCCTACATCCAAACGAAATAAATATAATTAATTATGATGAATACGTTAAGTCTTGTTCATTGTTTTTCACTTTTATTAAATGTTTGATATTTCCGGTGGAAATGGTGGACTATCGGACATTCAAAATGCAGCATATTTTCACTCTTACACACATATATTCTCCTTTTACATACATACATCTTCACTCTCACACACATATATTCTCCTTTTACATACATACATCTTCACTCTTACACACATATATTCTCCTTTTACATACATACATTTTCACTCTCACACACATATATTCTCCTTTTACATACATACATCTTCACGCTTACACACATATATTCTCCTTTTACATACATACATTTTCTCTCTCACACACGTATATATACTCACACATTCATACATTTTGCTCTCATATTATCATATTTCAATGCACACATTCATATATTGTCACTCACACATTCATGCATTTTGTTCTCATATTCATATAATTGAATGCTCATATTTATACATTTTGCTCTCATGCGAGATCTACTAAAACAAAGTATGTCATGGTAGTGGTCAGCTGTTAAACACAAAAGTGTATCTTAAGGGCTGTAAATATAATAAGCCTGTAGTCAATTTTAGACACAGGCTTATTATATTTACAGCCCTTAATAACATTCATTTTCTGGACTCAATGTGTGTCTTGGCCGTTTTCTTTGTTCCTAGCAAACGAGTGCTTTTTGTTTTGAAATCACTTCCGCGAGTTTTGCGGGCCTCCCCCCTCGCTCCACTGACCATTAGACCATTTAGTAAGGTAACAAGCAAAAGGGCAAAAACGCCTCTCACACGCTCTTCCGTTTACTTTTTTAATAAAGAAAAACAAATGGTCCGTAGATACACGGACTCATATAGCCTATGTATGTATACTGTAAGGAGAATGTATGTGCGTGAGAGGACCAGTGTGAATTACGGCATAGAAATATGCAAACACAAACCTACAGACTGGGGGATGGGAGATCACAGGAGTGGGGGGGGGGGGGGAGAGCTGTGGAATGTGACCCTTGGGAGAATTCCTCCACACATTCCGATGGCCAATTCGTTTTAAACAAAGAGTTCGCAACACAGGACAGCATAGGCAACATGGGGGGTGGGGGCTGGTGAACGGTCTGGTCAATGTTTGTAAACACAATCCCCAGGATGTGTCCTAATCAGGAGCCGGGTAAATGAGAGACTGAGGAGCCCCCGGAAAACAGATCCCGAAATAGCTCGTCCTGGTTTCCGCAGCAGATAGGCCTACAGTATGGTGTCTGTGTTATGTCAGTCATTTTAAATAAAACGTTGAAAACTGAACTTGAAAATGGTTTCCTCTTTTTATTTTATTTATCATTTTCGGGACGGGGAGACGTGTGTGATTAAAAATTAATTTGCAGAAATGTAAAGTGATCTAACTAAGTTCTATTCATATTCTTGACGGGAAGAGCAGTGTAAATGGGTGGCCATATGCATTTGAAAAGCAATATAAATCACACAGTTATTATACAATAGGCTATAAAAGCACCATCGATAACCATTACCTTTATCCAATTCAAACTTTGGACGGGAAAAAAGGAAGGTGTACATGGTTGGGCTATACTGTAGGCCCAGGGGCGGCGGGTGCTGTAGGCTAGGGAAGGCTAAGCCTTCCCAAATATTTGTGTAACTGCATCCTGGTAAAATAAAAATATAATGTCTTTGACATTAGCGCTGCTATGCAGCCACCTGTGCCCTGTACCACGAAGCCAGTTCAACATACCCTGTATATGCTTGAGTTATCTTAACTAACCC